TTCAACTATTTTCACACCGTCAATAGAAGTGCTAAAAACATTTGCTTCTAGTGAATTTTGTTATTATAGCATTAGCGGTTTAGGAGATATGCACATTAAACCTATTAGAGGCGGGACCACGCCCACTTTTTAAAAAAAGTTTTAACTGCAGATGCCCCTCCCTAATGTGATCCTGTGTACCAAATAACAGTCTTGTATCTTATTGCGGAGCTTAGTTATGGCAAGTTATTTGTTTTTGAGTAATGGCGTTTTGTGGGCGTGGCAGTGGTCCGATTACGCCCATCTGCAATACCAACCGTCTCACGGTACCAAGAAACATGTCTACCAAGTTTCATAAAGATATCTTAATTTTTACTCAAGTTAGAGCTTGCACGGACGGACGGACAGACAGTCACCCGGATTTCAACTCGTCTCTTCATCCTGATCATTTATATATATATAACCCTATATCTAACTCGATTAGTTTTAGGTGATACAAACAACCGTTAGGTGAACAAAACTATTATACTCTGTAGCAACAGGTTGCGAGAGTATAAAAAGGAGGAGTATTTGAAAGTAATTATTTTACAAAAAAAAAATTGAAACCATATTTAAACTGATAATATATGTATAAGTATAGATTGCATATAGCCCTAGCCCTAATTAATTTCGAGTTAATTTCTTTGAGAATACTTGCTCAATAAAGGGTACTTTTCAATAATTATCAAAGCAAGTAAGTTAAGAGAAGTAGGATTTCTAAAGATCTAAAGTCAAACCTGAAGCTTACAGTGCAACGATTTGCTGAAGAAAAGAAGCGAGATTTTTAATAAACGAAGGTAAGCCCGGAAGGTAATTTCATTTTGATTTATTGAATTTTTAACTGAAAGGCTACCTAAAATGTTACCCAATTTATAAACGACATAGTGTTGGATTTCGACTAAGCTTAACAACAGTTTTCATGCCTAAATTATATTGCTCCCTCTCTCTCTCTCTCATGTAGTTCTCAAAGGCTAAAAACACTTACGAAAATATCTACAAGTTAGTTTTCAAGCAAACTTAAAACACATCGTTGAATTTTCTTTCGAAAATCTTTTGAAAGACAGCAAAGAAAGGCCAGATTTTGAAGAAATTTGTTTTGTTGAAGATAGATTAGTCAACAATTAGATTCAATGAAATTGGATCTCAGTCATCTCAAAGCAGCAAAAAAAGTCTACTATCACAAATAATTCAAAAAATTAAAAAAGCTAAAAATAGATATTAAAACGAGTTTTTGTTAATTAATATATTAAAGTGCAGAAAATAAAATTTTTTTTTTCACCAATAGAAACAGATTTGAACAAGACCTTGTTAGTATTGGAAAATGTGGAAAGCCTTACAAAAATTAAAAAAAAAAAAACGATCACCCTAATACACATATTTACATATGTATGTATATTTATATGCACACTCACATTACATTGTAAGTAATTACATAAGTACTTAACACAAACACTTAGTCAGCGTGTGGTGTTTGCCCCACAGCGTGCAACCAGCTATAGATGCGTCCGCTCCACTTGTGGCTTTACACATGTGGCAAAGTGTCTACCAATTTAATTCTAAACAAATCAATTTTCCAGGCGAACACAATGCACTTGATCGACTTTCGTTTTCCTAACCAAACATAGAACTTTGTACGTATGTATGTGTGTGTGTGCATGCATTTTCAGGTGCACTCTCAACAATATTTACAAGTTCACTTAACGTATCACCCACTTAATATAATTTTATTATATTTGTGTGGCTGTAATGGCTGGCCGTGAGCGCTGCGTGAACTCTTCGCAAATTTAGCGAATCAAAATATCTTTCAATAATCATTTGTTGCTGAACAATTTGACGTCGAAAAAACGAAAACCATCATGCATGCGTGAATACTATTAGCTCATCGTGCGACAAGAGAAATGTGCAACTGTTGCCAGTTCTGGTTTTTGTTTTGCATTAACGGCATTGCATTTCCCAAATTGGCGCCACGTGTGTTTGTAGTTTGATATGAGAAACCGCTAAATATTTAGTTTGATCACAAAATATTATTGGTTTATCATTGAAGCACGTACAAACATAATGAAAAACAGAGGAAAGTTCAAAACTTATGGAATTTGAGATTTTAATTAGCACTCGTAATAAATGGAGGGCTTCTTCTGTAGACCGTTGTTGCTAAGCAAACTCTTTCTTCATTTCTAAAAAATATACATAAGTATATGGTTTACGTTATTTTGGGGAATTTTTAGATTATACGTCAATTTTGTATACTCCAATTATAGAATAAAGTAATCAATGTAAAGAAAATGATGAACTGATATGATGTTTATCAAGGGTAAAAATAATAAGCAATAGGAATGAAATGGGATTTTTCAATTTAAGAAAACAGTTAAGATGACAGTTGGGGTTTTTAAAGGAAGCAATCTAAAAATTAGACAACAAACGTGGCACCACCCACCTTTAGGTGAAACCCAAATATCAGAACGACTCAACAATTTCAACAAAACTTTATATATCACAATGCGATTATTAGTGAAATCGAACTATAACCACGCCTACTTCCTATAGATCACAATTTTCTGTATATTTCACTTTACTATATATATTGTAAATCAAGCTCTAAAGAAAATATCGAAAAAAAAACTTTCCAGAGATAACTCGTTTGAGGTATGTGACCTCACAATTAAAAATCGTCCAAAACGGACCATAGCGTTTAAAGCCAGACATAACAACTATGTGAGTCTCTGTGCCGATGACTGTCTTTTTAACGGTCAATCTGTGAATTATCGTATCGAAAGTCAGAGAATATCTTTTACTGCTAATAATATATCCTTATCCAAAAATTATTAACATCGGTTCCCGATCTATATGTAATTATATATTATAATTATGAGAAAATCGAAAAACTGAATACGAAATTGCCAAACTAAAACTGATTATTTACATTTAACTATATGATATTGCTATACTACAATACTTAATTCTCAACCTGATATAAATATATGTTTACATTGTTACTTAATGAAGTTATTGAACCTTGGCCTTGTTCTGTTGTAAACGAGTGGCAAAAAAATACTCGCACCAAAAAAAAAACACCCTTATAACGAATGAATTAGTTCTTGAAAACAATTTGCGAGTTTTTTGTAGATTCTAACAACTAAAGCCAACCTCTCTCACTAAAAACTTAAGAAATTAGTAGATTACCTTGAGAGAAGTAAAATATTCCCCCACTCTATTCGAAATTACTTTCAAGCGTTTCAATTATTGTAGTATTTCCATACATTGCAATTTAAAACGATTATTTAGATGCTGTCGGGCTTATGAGTTACAGAAAGAAGTTCGAGAAAATAAAGATGGAATCATTTGTATATTATGTATATATTGACGGTGAAATTTTTCATAATTCCTGTCGATAGGCTCCTTTTAGGTAAAAAAAAAAATTAGAAATCATCTGACGTTAAATGAATCTGAAAATTTCAGACTCTTATAAGTATAAAAAAATCAGAAATCATCTGTCGTTAAATGAACTTGAAAAGTTTGGAAGTGTTGTCGAAGCATCCTAAAATGATATATAAAACTTAGACTAAAATGTATCAAACTAATTTTTAATGTTCCAAAAAACCACAAGCTAAAAAAGGGAGTAACTAAAAAATTGTAATTGGTATCCAATTTCATTTCTGTGGAAACACTGGTGTTTAGTTTAAATCACGAACAAGATGTTTATATGATGTATGAATATTAATCAAAATAATTTTTGTTGAAAAAATTTTTTAAATGCAACAAATGTTATTTCATTCATTTTTTAACTAATATTATTATTTTTTTATATCAATAGAGTTGCCTCAACTAAGTATACTATTTGCATTTCTAGCTTGTATCATCAATAACTTTAAAGCTTTTTCATTTTCATTCTTTTTTTTCAAATAAATCAATGAAATATACTTAACATTCATGAAGCAGCAAGACCGAGCACAAATATTTACAAAATTGTCGCTTTAAAAGCACCAAATAGACAAACAAATATTTATCGGAGATTTCAAGCAAGTAAAGTGGCCGCAAATTGAAATGTGGCGAGTTAGTGAAAGTGTATTTGAAGTTGAAATAATGAATTGAGTAATGTAGATGACGAATTCAAATCTAAATGCTCTGTGCTTTATCACATTTATGCGACTGTTGTTGCCTGCATCGATAATGGATAAGCTCAGCACTTCATGTGCTTTAGAAGCGTGCAATCCAAACTGTGCCACAAGGATAACAAACGCAAATGACACTGCTATACCGTTGGCCAAGCATTGAAAATAGAGAAAGCGTAAAGAATACAATAGTAATTGGAGCTAGTAGCGGAAATGGCAGAAATTGATGTAATTCAAATATTTTAATAGCTCAATGTCAGCCATAGTTCACACACACGACTACGCAAATACGAGCTTAAGCGCTGACAGAGTTCGAAATTTCGAAATGTTGCAAATGCATGCAAATATATTTGCTCAGCAATGGTTGTGTGTGTGTGTGTGTGTTTAAGAACGCTTTCACACACACTTGCTATTCAGCAGGCACACAGTTCCACATACATACACATCAGAGCGTATATGATCTATAGCCATCAACGCAATCCCCCAAACAGCCCATCAGCTGTTGCTACACTTGCATGTATATCTTCAAGTGCGTTCACAAACATTTCGAAATTAAATTAAAATCCTTTATTGACATATTAATTTGCACAGCACACAAAGAGATTCAATCAATTGCACAACAGGCGCATTTGAGGCAGACATACATACATACAAACTTCTGTAGATATTGTCTGTGTGGGTGTATGCATATATCAGCACAAATCATTTTAATCACCAACTAAATAAAATTGATTTTTCATGATTGCTCGTAACAGCATCCTGCCATCAGGAGCGCCAGGCAAAAAATTTAAAATTATTTTTTTTAAGTTTTTTACATATTTATAATTATTTTTTTTTGTCATTTTATTTTTTGCAATATTTTGTTATTCTTACCGCAACCGCCTCGACAAATCCATTTTGTTGACTCTTATTTAAATTGCTGGGATTCCAAAAAGTTTTTCCACCCTTGTCTTTACCGTTATTTTTAGAGTGAAAAGAAATTAATATTTACGTTTTTTTTCTTCTAATTATTGCACTTGTGTAAATGTTTTTGGCTTAACACATAACTTAATTTATGTTTTTGTTTTGTTTTCATACAATTTGTGTTTTTATTCTCCAACAGATTAATCCAATATTTATCTACACTTCTCTACAAGGATATCGTTATAGCTGAGCACCACATACATATATCCTTAAGTGTATTCTTGTACGTAACAGTAAATTAGCTTATACATATATTTATACATATATACAATAAATATATATATATATATATATGTATTGGTATTTATGCACAAACAATTTCACAACACAATCCAATCCCAAATGTCCTGCTTGGCGCAAGGACACTGCTTACAACGATTCGCGAACGCGAGCGAAAAAGGAAAGCACACCCGTTGGACAGGAACGCCAACACGCAACTGATCACAATGACGGAGCATACGATCGCAGTTAGTGGGTAGACGGTGTAGCGGCGCGCACGATCAATGGCACAACGTAAGGCAAACCAACAACAACGACAACAGCAGAAACATGCCACAATCTCCGCTGAAAGCAACAATGAATTGACTTCCAGCGCAAAGTGAACGCCAACAGAACGATCTGCAGTCAGAATCCAGCAACGACGATCTACACACACACATACACATCTATGTGTAGAACGCAACATTTGGAGCAAACGACGAAGCACACACGCACACATACTTGCGCGCATACACTTGAATATAGCGCATTTATTATGTGTGAGATTGCGCTTCCGCTTTGTATGTTATTCTAGTGCCGAACACAATCGGTTGTCCGGCATATGCCTCGTCCACCCAAACACCCACTAGTGCGGAGTGCTGCGCGATCGCGTAACTACACACACACACACATACAAACAAGCATACATACATACATACACACATAAGTTAGCACCGTTCTACATGCGCTAAGCGCGATTCAAACGCTTCTGAGCAGGCAGTGGGGCGTCAGCGTTGAGCGGATATTGATAAGACACAGCTCACACAGTTCGGAAATACATATAAGAAGCAAATGTGTTGTGTTATTTGTGATTGTTTTTGCTTTTCAAAGCTGATATCCGTTTTTCAAGTCGCCTTGCTGCCAGTTTTTTATGCACATATGTATATGTGTTGTTCCCTTTTTGAAATTTTAGCAATTCTCGATTAATTGCTTATAAGCAGAAAATGTTCAATTTTTTTTTTTATTTACAAATTTTATCGCTACGCTCCTTTTTTACAAAGCCTTGCATTTACTAAAGTCACATTACATAAACAACATGCAATATGCATACATATTATACGTTTATAAAAAATGACTAACATAAGGCCGCCTTGTTTGCTCCAGTTTTAGTTTACTTGCGCCGATCCATATAGTACATTGAGTTATTTTTAAAAATATAAGTGACTATGTCAATTGAATGCAGATACTCTCACTTGTTTGAGAACATTTCGCGCGCCTGCAAATTCTGCTTGCAACTTTTACTGCTGTTACGAAAATATCACAAAAGCCAACTTATACCAGCGCATACACACACAGCCACACGCAGTGTTGCGGGCAAAAATCAATATTGCTCAAGTAAACACAAACTCTAGCGGCTTACTGAAAGAGCCACATGCGCCTGCCGCACATTCGTGGCGCAGCGCGCACGGTATTGTTAACGACCGACCGGCCGGTTTGTCAAACACGCAGATGGAGCAACAGCTTTTAAACGGCTAGTTTACGCCGCATGATACATGGGTCACGTACATACACACATATAGAGACATATTCATATTTCCCTTCAGCACAGATAGTTGTTGTATAGTGATGAGCTATGCCGGTGAACGGCGATCGCACTTGTTGTTTAATTGTTTATTATGGGAGAGATACTCATTTCTCTAAAGTACACACACGTGCGCTCTCCGCTTTCGCTCTCATGATAGTGATCAACACTGTTGGCGATAAGTTTTCACTGTTTATATGAAAAGGCGGGAATGCACTTGCAAGTGATTAAGTGATGTGATCAGATGTGACGTGATCTGATCTGATCATGTGATATTTTATGCACAGAAGTCGATTAAAAGTATTGAAAAAACCGCACACAAATTAAAAAAAAAAAACAAGAAAAAACGTTTCCGTCGGCTGCATAAAAGCTATAATATCCTTCCCAAGTGTTTTATGCTAGATATTGTCGGTTCCGACAAATGAGCAGCTTATTAGGGAATAAAAATGTTGTGTACAAAATTTCATATCGATATCTAAAAAACTGAGGGACTAGTTCGCGTATATACCAACAAACGGACGGGCAGACAGATACATGGCTGAATCAACTCAGTTCATCATGCTGATCATTTATGTATATATGCTATAGGTTCTCCGACATTTCCTTCTGTTGAAGGTATAAAAATTGATAATATTTATTTTACCTAGTCGTGTGCATATTGCCTTTAGTTATGTAACAACCCACATATAAATTGCGTTGAATATGACGACCTATGCTGAAAGCACTGTAATTCATTAGGTTAAAAACCGGTAAGTATCAAGGTCATTCATCAATTGGTTGAAAAATAGGAATTCTATGCCGTTACAGCTTTGTGAGCTAAAGTAGCGTTCATTCACCGAAGCGCTGGTGCCGCCCAGAAGCATTACAAGCTCGAGAATATCGTGGAGATACAAATCTAAGTGAATGCGTTTCTTGATTCACGAAAACCGTAAGAATCTTTGTGAACCCAAATCTTAAGCGACAGCGGATTTCAACGACGAAGAACGACAGCTGAGATAATCAATGAGAAACTATTTCAATAGTTTCAATGGATGTGTGCTTGTTCCACATTTTTATCATCCTTGTTATCAACGTAGTTCGAAAGTTAGACGTGCATGAAATTGTTTGTATTTTGTGTCTACAATTACTTTTGTCAGAACAAATTTTACTTTGGGACTTCCCTTTTCCAAAATAATATTCCATTCATTCGAAATAAACATGTGAACAAGGATTTTCTTCCGACAAGAAAACAAAAAAGCGATGCATTTTTATTCACTCTTACTGACAACAGTTCAAAGGCATATTTCCGCCGAGCAAAAACTGAATGAAACTTTCAAAAACATAAAATGACACAGGAAAAGTGCGAGAATGTAGAGGCTGCTAAAAATATTTACTCGCAACAGACCCCTAACAAACATCAGCCACACTTACGATCACGCGAGCGTGTTCCCCCGTTATAGAATCACAAATACGACGCTGTGGCGCTGACAAATACGTTGCAGCCACTAATTATGCACACATGTGTGATCTGTCGACGACACACATTCGGAGTCTTTCCTTGGAAAAAAGGGCCAACGCCTCGGCAATTAATGTTAAAAATAATGGAATATCCAAAAAGCAACAACAATAACATCACGCCAAATTAAAATAACTGCATTATTGTGCTGAGGGCTGGAGGCATTCTTCATGGAAGAAATAAATGAATTAATGTGTCAAGTCACAACAACAATTTTTTTTAGTATTTCAAGGATTGAAATGTAAAATTCACTGAAGCGCTGACATACTGAAGGATTTCATTTAACAGAAAGGAGGCTCAGACTGATTTTCGGTGAACATGTGTTGCCCACAACCGCGACTGTTCAAACGATTAAAGTGTCGACTTGCTGAAACAATCTGACTTTATGCACACATATGTATATGTATATTAGTATATAGTGAGATTTGACGGCTGCGCATTGGGCATCTGGTTCAAGAAATCTGTGTATAAACTATGTAAATATGTTCATATATTTGAAATTTTAGTTGCAATGCGTTGGTAACACGAATTCGCTGTAATTTAATTCGACAAATGTGGGGCAATACAAATTTCAAACAATCTCTGATCTCTGATAGCTTTGATTTGATGATTTTGCTATAATACATATATAATAAAGACTTAGGATCAACAAAGTTTAACTAGCGACGACTGTTATTAGAAAAAGCTTTTTTGTTATTGTTCGCGAACATAATTATTCTGCAGTGTGCTCATTAGCATCTTTAAACGTTGAACGGTCGCCTTTTAAGACGTTAGTAAACACGCCCAACAGACTATATTTATTAGGACCGCACCCCTGGAATATCTTCTGAAAATCTTTATTTTTTAGACCTTTTCTCCATCTAATATTAAGATGTTCTTTACAGACCGCTCACTTATTTAGAGAGATGGTTTAAGCGTGTTCACTTCAAAAACCAGATTCATAACCACAAAACTCACATTCACAATAATAATGTACTTTGTAATGGGCCAATTAAGGTGACTTTTGGCGAACTCCAAACGTTGACATGTCTGGTGGCTAACAGTGGAACTTTTCGTGGATGGCACGCTTTGAGATTTTATTCTTTAAGACGTCGCCGAATAGTAACGCCACTAACATTCAAGCTTAAGTCATTTTTTATCTTGCTGGATTTTTTATCTTGCTGGATGCAAAAGGCTGCGCCCTGCTATATCGCACAATAGATCGGACCTCATGAGGCGTGGTTTCACGTTGGATACCATGATTTTCGGGCATTTCTTTAAAGTTTAAAGCATTATGAATCATTTCAGCAGAACATCCACATATATCTTGGATGTTCTTATATGTTTTTCCCAGGTTTCTTAGTTGCACTATAATATTTCTTTTTTCAGGAGTACAATGTTTGCCCCTGCCCACTAAGTTAAAAAATAGAAATTTATTTCTGTGTTTTCTAATGTTAATAATAGTCACTAACGCAACCCCACTTACTTTTTATCAATTAAACGTCTTAACAAAAATTTTTTGGCTTATCAAGATACGCACTGCTATTTTAATGAACAGCCAAAGACTGGTGCTTCTAGCAAAAAGACTTGTTCATTTGCTTAAATCTCGCAAATCTAACGGGATTTTTTCGTTTCTTCCTTATACACATTCCATTCTACAACAACAATGCGTAGACGTTGGAATAATTGTAACGGAACTTGAAAAAAAATAACATTACTTGATTGCATTTCTCGCACTGCTATTTTTGTGAACACAGCTGTATATATATATATACATATATATTCGAACGTCATATTAAAAATATTTCCTTTAATACAAATATGCAAAAATGTAATTCTTCATCATATTTAAAATTACATAAATAACTATGTACTCGCATATATGTACATATGTATAAACCAAACATGTGCATGAAAAGTGAATTCCGCTTCCTATCCAAACTGCTCAGTGCGTTCATTGTGTTAAATTAATGTGCTTTTAATTGACTCACAAACAAATGCAAACAAATCCTTATGGCTCCGCATCAAATTTCCAATTCATTCATAAAATTTGCGTACTTTACATTCTCGCTTGTGGATAAATATTTAAATTTAAATGACTGAACAAATAATGTTTAAGTTTATTTAATATCATTTGAAGTTTATTTAATATGCCCTCTATGATATTAGGTGTGTAGTGTTGTAAAACGGTCAATTATTCAACTTATCGGCGTTACATTATCAGTAAGCAGATTGTGTGAAGACGATATGGTGTCAAGGGCGAATAGCTTAGATAAAAGATCTGACGATATTTTTTTTAAAGCATGGGCACATATTACTCATATACGAATATAGAAGATCACATATACAATTATCAAAAACTTATTGTCCAAATTTTTTCTAAGATATCTCACATACCAACCAATTATTAAATATAGTATAAAATCAACCAGAACAACGAAAATTATTGAATTGCGTACATGTGAGCTTTGGGAAGGTTTGGACAGGTTTCGGTAACTCTTTCATACTGACCGATATATGTACATATGCAACATAAAATCAGAAAAATGTGTGAGCCGATTTCATTTACTTCAGTACCAAATGTGATTATGATGATTGACTTACTTACCACATTTTATTAATATATTGCAGATTACTGAACGTAGTCAAAACGTTATATATATACATAGCAGAATAATTATACTCACTTAATTGCCACTAAAATGGGTCACATATGTGACTCATAGACGTTATACAGATATTGGCAAGGATGTTTGATGACTGAGCTATCTCCTATAAATAAAAATCTGATTTCGTTAAAAATATTATTTTATTGGAAATGGATTTGTATCAATTAATGAATTCGTCTCCTCATCCAGATCATATTAGTACATGTCTATACCGATTAATTTTAGATGTTACAATGAACTGTTATATAACGGAAACTAATATAATCCTTACAGCTTATTGCGAGAACATAAACAATTATGGCCGTGAATTTAGTTGGTTTTCAAGCCGGTTAAGGAGCACACCTAGTGCAGCAGCCTGAAAAAGAAGAGAATTTGAGAATTTAAAAAAATAATATCTACTTTATCAAATTGTTTCAAAATTTTTAAAGCATATTTGTAGATATTTTAAGAATTCACAGTAAAATGTTTGAAGAAAATAATTTAATATTTTGCGAGTTACACACGATCTCCGACGGCGCTTAAAGCAAGGTCCTGCACTGCTACAGTGATTATGGCCTTCTCCGTGAAAAAAAAAAAGCTCTACTAGAAAATTTTGAATATAAAAAAGGCGTTTAAAGATAAACTGATTAAGCTGAGTGAACTGAGCGGTTACACTTAAGAAAGCTGTAACTTAAAAACTATTTCAGATACTGATTTAAAAATTAATTTGTTATTTTTAAATGTATAACCTATCAAATTATGAAGAAATCGTTTTTTTTTTTTAATTTCACAGTAGGGGAGCTCCTTAAAATAAATTTCGAATCGAATTGATTTATATTTATGACAGTTGACATACAAATGTATTTCGAAATAATTTCGCCATTATAAACTATATAAAAATAACTTATTTAGATAAAAACACTATATAAACTAAAGTAATTTCGGTTAACATCATTTTCATTTTCTCAACGGAAATAATTGCAAAACTCTCATATTAAAAAACCGATAGAATAAAGGTTATCTTTTACCATTAGATTTCATTTGCTACTAGCTTTGATTTGTCTCGCTTGAAAGAAAAGCTTTATTTCTATCAGAAAACGCGTTTTCAAGCAATCAAGAGCGAAAGATCCTGCATGCTTCGTCGACTCCATGGTATGTGCAAGTGCATATAGAGCAAAAATAGATAAGAAACGCACTTTCATTAAATATTTACTGCTTGTTTCTAGTTGTTGCAATGTCACTGGGGCAGATCCATCGGCTTTCCATGAGGTTCGGCAAATTACAGCTGCCTATGTACCACATATTGTATATGTAGATATGTACGAGAGCTAACATTTGTGTGTATGTGTTTGCAGCAAATGCGATAAGCTTTCTGCTTGCAAACATATTTACAAACATACACATACATACACATACAAACATATTATGAAAGTATTAATTCATATGAATATGGCCACATATTTGCAATAATGCTATGATATCAGGTTCTATGGCGCAATGATCTACTCGCTCTCTGTCACCAAAATCAGACTGTCATTTGTGAATGGCGGGGGCAAAGCAGATACATACATATGTATGCACATGTACATAGCATATATTTAATTAAAGATTCATTTGTTTTAGTAATTTCCGGAAATATTTTGTTACAATCGAAAACGTGTAGACGCTGCTGATGGAACCATACGTAAACATCATATAACTCTACGATCACTTACGTATGTACATACATACGATCTGTATGTATATACATATGTACAAGTATGTATGTAACTTCGTTAAATTTGAAAACTTAGAATTTTATAAACAAAGCTCATAAGGAGCTTCAGTATACATATCTACATAACGGAGTTTAGTATTTCCTGCGACGATAACTTATCACAAAACATTCTAAAAATATATTTCTAAAATCATACTTTAAGTTTAATGAGCAGCATATACAAAGGAATAAGCAGAATGACTTTTACGAATGTTTAAAATGTTTTTGTTATTTTTGCTTTTTATTAAAATAATTATATTTTAAATTTTTTATTATGTTTTACAATACTTCAAGTATTTATCTTATACAAACATGTTTTATTTAATGTAATTGTTTTTTTTTTTTGTTTTTAACACATTTTAAATTCAATATTTACTTTGTGTCACAATAAAACTGTGAAAAGCGCAAGTTGTTATCGCACATGAAAATAGTGTCGCGAATTCCAACTATTTAACCTCCGCCTAGAGGCACCATTTTTGTAGCGGAAGCTCCTTATCGCATAAAAGCTATAATTCAGCAAATGCGCAAAATCATAGAACGAAATATTAATAGCACAAGTAGGTTGTAGCCGAGGCTACACCGGGCCTACTCAACCTTTTACCGCATACATATGTTCGTATGTATGTATAACACTGGTTACGCGCCATTTCCGGTTTTCAAAATATTATCAAAGCTCGTTTTTACTTTTTTTCCACCATGAAATAGGTCGCACGCACTTTGATAACTGAGAATATATATTGAATGACTTTCACTTTTCTGAAATATTATTGACAATTTGGTTTCCTTCAATAATTCCAAAAGCTCATCGATATTTTGCAATCACCACTCAATTCTGAAAATATTAAAGGATGTGTCCTCTTTCAAATAGTATAGTCGCATTATTAGTAAAATATTTTTAACGTATAGCAGTTTCTGAGCCGCTGTAATTGCATTTTCGAATCAAAAGTACTACTCTTTTTCGCAGCCTATAACCTAATGCAATGAAGCAATCTTCGAAGAGATCGTTCAGAACGGATGACTGTAGCATATAGCTGCCATACAACTGTATAGTTCTCTATACAATACGGTTTTTGGTCTGATTAAAAATCAAATTTGGCAAGCCAAAATGACCAAAACTTTGCGTAAAATTTCATTTTTTTTACACGCCGGCATATTGTCAATTTTCGATTTTTTTTCGACCGCAGATCAGTGTAGGGACAAAATCTTCTAATAGAGAACTTTTCTTAGATTTCATCCATGGAACTCGATTATCATGAGGAACTCAAACGTGGAACTCGGAAATGTTTTTAATATTTTTTAATTCTCAAAAATTGTGTGACAGCCTAAAACTAGTGTGTTTGCATTGAGGTTCAAAAAGCATATTTCACAGTTTTTAATATTATAAAAAATATATGCATAGGCAGAAAAGAAGCCTAGGATGGTATTTTGATTTTTTTCTGTGATGAACTTGAACAGTTTTGAAAATTCGAGCAAAGAGAGGTTTCATTACTATTTGACTTACGGAGTAACGGTCTGTCTGTTAAAAAAAAATACAAATTTCTACAAAATCTATGTAAAGAAACTATTTTTTACATATGTACACATGTGGGTATATACAACTTGCGTACGTTTCCAGCTTATCTTGCTTCCACATTCTTATTGGATATGCGCGTATCGCTGTACAAACGCTTTTCGCACTTCTTGTACTATTCGCCCGAAACCAGCACTTCATAAAGTTCTTGCGGCACAGAAATGACACGATTACTAATGTACTTATACACACATACTTAGGCACAAATATACAAATGAGTATTTGATACAATGAATGGCGCCTTATCAATCGCCAGTTCCGTTCTCCTCAAAATGCTCCCATTTCATGGGCCCCATTCTTATCCTATGCTCATTAATAACTAACTGCTAACAACAAATGAGCTAGTAATGGTGTTGAGGTTTTACATTCAGACACTGTGTGACATTGAGCATTGTTAAGCGCGCGCTTTTGCGGCATTTAATTTCAAGTCTTATGAATGGTTTGAAGAATAACAACAGGAAGTGTGAATTTCTATGTTTCTATGCGGCTTTGGCGCCGATAACAAAGTATGCCGTATATTCAACTAATATTTTGTTGATACAATTTGTAATTCGTTTGTCATTTTATAGGTAATTTTTTACAATTTTTTTAATTTTAGAATGATGTCTTTTAATTATTGACATTCTTAATAAAATAGGAAGTTAAGAAATCTTATAAAAAAAATTCACTTTAAAAATATTGTTAACATGGCAGAGTTGATGGGCATGGATTGCATAGAAATATTCTTATGCGAGAAATGCAGTTTCCATTTATCCATCGCGAACTATTTCAAACGCTTTTCTGCTAAACATCTGAATTTCATTAGACCAAATCATATTAAAATCCAGGGTCCCAATCTGTTTGTTGCTCTTCCATGCGCGTTGTGTAACATACAATGGTATCGCCTGCTTGCGGCACCACTTTGGCATCTTTGAAACGTAAACCACACTCTACGTCCTTTTTTATGGAATCCACTTCGTTTTTCAAATGGCGCATAGACTCCAATTGACCTAAAAAAAATTGCAGTTTTGAATAATTTCTTTTATAAAAAAGAAGTTGAAAGCACCTTCATATAAAACCTCGTCATCACGCACTAAACGAAATTTGTGTGCCTTCTTCAGTACACCTTTAACACAACGGCAGCCTGCAACAGGCACTTCTTTGCGGCCATCGTTAATGAAGAATTGCTGCAGCACATTCGCCTCGCCCACAATCTCTTCCACTTCCATTGCTGGCAGTTTACTGCTAATTTCTTTTTTAAGATCATCGATAAGCCGATAAATGACATCGTAACAACGTATTGTCACGTCTTTTGGCGCATTCGTTGGTGCAGGCACTGAAAATCCATAGACGATTGCATTAAAAGCTTTTGCCAATTCAATATCGCCCTCCGAGACATTTCCCACACCATAGTGTACAACATCGAGTCTACAACGTTCATTGCTGGTGTAGGTATCGAAGACGTCGAGTAGAGCCTCTACAGAACCGTGCACATCACCCTTGATGATAATACTAACGCGTGGCACATCATCATGTTCGATATTTTCTTTTTCGCGCGGTCCGTAACGCATACGAAATTTGCCGGCCAATCGACGCGCATCACGCTCAGCGCGATATTTGGCCAAATGTTCCTCCTCTTTTTTGCGAATTTCATCAACAGCCTCTTCGGCTTTGTGCTGTTTGGCTTCATGCTCACGCCAACGCAACACGGAATGCGCCTTTTTCTGTAACATAAATCGCAAAGTTAGAAAAATTTTGCATGATTAGTAGTACATGAACATACCTCGGTTTCCACCTCAAGTATAACATCACCAGCTAGTGGCAGCTCGCGCCAACCTAATATCTCGACTGGCGTACCGGGTGCTGCTTGCGTCATTGGTTTGCCATTATGATCGAAGAGACCTCGCACTTTGGCATGAGCTAAGCCACTCACGAGCACGGCGCCTTTTCGTAGAGTGCCGCGTGTAACAATCGCAGTGGAGAGCTTTCTTAAAAGAAAGTTGTCACAACAAGTAAACAGTAGGTGGTTAAAATAACTCACCCTCTATGTGGATCTGTCTTAGATTCGACCACCACGCCTTCAATTAGTCCAGCAGGATCTGCTTTGAGACCCATAATGGTCGCCTGCGTACTCACAGCCTCCGTTAAAAGTTCTAAATTAGTGCCTTTCAATGCTGAAATTGGTATGGCTTGTATATCACCACCTTGATCCTCTAGCACCAAACCCATTTGCATCAAATCACGTTTGGTTTTTTCCTAAGAGCAAAAATTTTAGTAATACTTTTTCATTTTAACAATAACTCAAAATATTTACAATATCTGCTTCGGGTTTGTCGATTTTATTAATGGCCACAATAATAGGTACTGTTAATAAATGCAGAAATAACAAAAAAAAATTATTTTCCATTATATCCTTTAAAAGCCAAAACAATGCTCACCATTCTCATTCAGCGCCAGCTGGATGACTTCACGTGTCTGCGCCATAACGCCATCCTCGGCAGCCACCACTAGCACAATTATGTCAGTGACATGCGCTCCACGCGCACGCATTGCACTAAATGCCGCATGACCAGGTGTGTCGAGGAACGTCACCTGCTCACCATTACTAAGTTTCACTGTGAAAGCGCCAATATGTTGTGTTATGCCACCGGCTTCACCAGCAGCCACCGCTGCACCACGTAAGGAATCTAAGAGTGTTGTTTTACCGTGATCCACATGTCCCATAACAGTTACTACTGGTGGACGTGGTTTCAATAGTTCTGCAGAAGCTGGTGGGCGTGGTGACACATCATGGTGTTTACCCAAATCACCCGAGTCTTCCACATCTACATCTGGGGCAGAAACGATGCGTGTCTTCACGCCACATTTATTAACTATTTCTTGTATGATTTTGAGATCGTCTAGACGTGCATGTGGTTCTATATTGTCAGCGCCCTTCACATATAACATCACCTCCTGCACGTTCTCTAAAAATGATAAAATAAAAACTTCAATAAAATATATGGAAATCATATGCGAACTAATATCTGCAATTACCTAACGGACGTTTTAGACAATCTGCTAGTTCTTGCACGGAAATGTGGCGCCAAATATCCACTACACCTTCTAACTTTGCGCCACTTTTCTTCTTTTTCGGCGAATACTCTATGATGCGATCAGATTTCTGAAATCACAAGTAAATTAGTAATAAAACAAATATCAAATATAAATTTATCCACCTTCTCCTCTCCGGTTTTTCGTCGTTTGCAGAGCACATCACAGGTGTAAACATTCCTTCGTGTTACATTTTGAACGACTGTTTTGGTTATGGTTGTGGCTGTTAAGTTAATTGGAAGTTGTCGCCCAACAACTAGCCTGAAATGCCTCGTGCTGCAGTAGTGGCTGCGCGCTACTGTGCTGTAATGTGAAGATGTCAAATCATTTCGAAGTCAACAATATACATTTAAAAAAAATTATCTTCATTCACACAAATTTTTTTCATTTTTAAGCCTATAATCTCATGCACAAAATACAATTTCTTACCGCACAAACGAACGAAAAAACATTTTACGTAAAGGCTACAAGCTGTCAATATCCCGGTCTATTTTTTTTTTTTTTTGTTTATCAAATTAATCAGCTGTTCGCAATGTTGCCATGTTGTTATACAAATTTAAGCTGTCTTCAATACCAGAGAACGTATATCATATACCTATATATAGCATTTATATATACGTTCTCTGGTCTTATGACATCCCTAAAATTTCAATGGTGTTCTAGTTTTGTGTTCATACCAGACAGGTTTTTCAAGAGCGATCTGGATATAATCTACAATTCCTGACTTAATTATTTTACTTAACACGTATATGAAAAATTAAATATATAATCTGAACATTAATAAATGAGTGCGTCTCTGCTCTTTATACCAAATTATTCTGTCGTTGACTTTGCTAATCAACTTTGGGCTACATCTACAGTTAATAAATGGCTTTATTATAATATAGTATAAATCAGACGCGCCATCTGTGTGTCGATTACAGCTATTGCCCTTGTAGGTTTCATAAACGTAAAACTAAAGAGGTTTGGAAAATTGCTAAGCGTGTGTATGATTAATTTAGTGCAGAACTGAAAAATATCAATAAAAAATGAACTGAGAAGTGCCGCAATATTCTCAGCGCGAAAATTCACCTTTAAGAAGTGAGAGTTGACAAGTAAGTAAATATTGATTATACAAGTTGTTTTTTATTACAAATTGTTAAAAGTGCTAAATTTGTAATTTGTGTTGTTGGTTCAGTTTGTGTGTAAATTTATAATGTCAATTTTACACCTGTGTACATATATGTGTATGTATGGAAATGTGTCGGCGATATTCACGATTCAAGAAGATTCAAAGTGCTGCGTTCTTCTACTATGTGCCATAGCCTTGTTGTTTGAAAAACCTTATATTTTCTCGGTTCCACTACGCGTTTGCGCAACACAAAAAACAACAACAAATAGTCTGCGCTGGTCTGGCACTATTGGTGTTATTTACTGCTGCTTAATGCCAATTTAAAGCCAGTTATATGCTTAAATGATTGTTCCTTGATAAACAGCAGTCAAATGGCGACTAACGCACACGTCAGCCAGCTAGTCAACTTATCGGCCTGTCTGTCGACTTGTCAGGATGCATGCTGCCAGCTTGCCAGCAAGTTCGACAAGCGTCAGCGTGTCTGTTTGAATTATGATGGAGCGCGCAAATATTCCAGATGCAAATATTTGCAGGAAAACTAACTGTAAATACAGGCATACATACAAACCTATGTATAACAGCAATAGTTGAAGCACACACTTGCAACAGCTATTGCTGGCAGAATCTGCCAACTTATAGACGCATATGAATGCATAGCTATATTTCCATACATATGTACATATGTCAGAAACGCATATTGCAGCAGGTCCAGTTGCAGTTAGTCTGCCCATGGCTACATAGATGAGGAAGCGTAAAGCCTTGTAACTGACGTTGAAACATCACATCACTTGTCCACATCGTACATGTACATACATGTATATATATTTGTATGTAGTAATGCAAGTTGTCTTATAGCGGAATTCGGTTGCATATCATGTGCGAGCTGCGCAGCCTGTATGTATGTATATGTATGAGCTAGCTTGGCAAAAATGTCAGTTGCACGCTCGATAATATGTTCTTCTGCTCTACAACGGTATGCACTATGCCCAAAGTGGGCGCTGAATGACTTTTATGTCAACGGAAGCTGAAAACACACAACGACACATACAAAGAGTTGTTTAACTTACATATGTAAGTGTGCAAGTGCTCAGTAGAAATTTGTACCCCACAGCAAATCGGACTAGCAGCAGTGCAAGAAAGGCGATGTGTCTGTTGAGAAAGCAGGACGCAATTATTTATTCACACCTAGTGTAGCAGCCTAGAAAAGGACGATTTTTTGAATTTAAAACCAAAAAAAAAAAAAAAATTTTTTAAATACTACTATATATATTATTTTACATTGTAAGGATATATTTCTTAATTTTTTAAGAATACAAAGCAAACATTTTTAAGAAAAAATTTTATATATTTCGTTTTACAACGCGATTTCCGACGGCGCTAAAACATGGTGCTTTACTAAATATTACAGTAATACCGACCTTCGTGAATGAAAACTAACAAATAAATGCTCCACTAAAAGATATTGAATGTTGAAATGAAAAAACAAGTAAAAAAAAATGGCTGAAAAAAAAACCGAAAAATGGTTGTGTTTCAAAAAAAAAAAATTGAATTTGGTCCAGTTTTTTTGACGTTTTTGATCTGCCAAGTGGTATTAGCTAAGTTGTATGGACAACTATAGATATAACATGCAGAAAAAATTCATAGTGATGAGATTATTTGTGTCCGAATAGAGATAGTCAAGCAAATTTCAAAAATATAATTTTGAGAACAACGCTTTTAAAGTTTAACTAATTGAGCTGTTTGAACTGAGCGGCTACACTTTAAAAGGCTGTAACTCAAAAACTTTTTTAAATGTCGTTTTAAAATTTTAATATGTTATTTTTAAAGGTATTGAAACATCGAAATATAAAAAATATCGTTTTTTCTTAAGCTTGACATTAGGTGAGCCTCTCAATATTTTTAGTAAAAGATACGCTCTATATATCTATATATATACATATATACATATGTCAACGCTTATAGCGTAAAAAATCTGTAAAATATATGATATTGTATGTTTTTTTTTAACTTCCCGCTAAGAAAATTGAAAATTTTCTAAAAATCGGGAAGATATTGGTTTCACCCCATTTTGCAAAAATCGAGTTCTCAACAGATCTCGACGTTTTGAGGGTCGAGGAAGCTTCCCCGAACATTTCTACGATGATGTCCGTATGTCTGTATGTATGTGTGGATGTATGTGTGTGTGTGTGATGACGATTTGAATAAACTAAACGGCATTCCAAAGGGTTTCATTGCACTTGAATTTCGTGTGAGTTTGGACCCAATCGGACCAGTAGATTTTGAGAAATCTCAAAAATAAAAATTTTGAAAAATCGTTTTTTTCATACCAAAAACTAATCAGTTCTAAACCTTGAAGAAACACATCGTTTGCCGCAAACCGGGTCGAAATCGGTTGATTTACTTGCGAGATATTGAAAACGAAAAATTTCGAAGAGCTCAAAAGCAGTGAAAAAAGCGAAATTTGAACGTTAGCGTATGAAATTAGAGGGAAGTTGCAGGAATGGCCCTTGAGGCCAACCGTTTTCCACATTTTTTTTTTTGAAACCAGTCACTTAACCAATAGATTTCATAACGTTGCTCCAGTTTTAACTGTTGAGTGTTATATTTGTGTAAATAATAAATTTATGTATATGTATATGTGTGTTATCATATACCATATACATATATGCCTATTACGGAAGTTTATCATATAATATATGGTATCATCCGCTTGCCACGCTCAATATCCCGGAAATATGTTACACATAGTTTGTAGAAGTCAATTTAGACAGCGTTGTGCCTAAACTATAAAAGGCGTAATGCAAATTTTGTAAAACAGAAAAAAGACAAAATTATTATAAACAATATATTTTGATATAGAGAGCTTTTGAAATTAAAAAGCTGAAGCAGTACCATTAAAACTTTTTCCACATAATTTTAGAGCCCAAAAAATTTGTGCTAACTTGTGCTTAGTATCTTCACTCAATCAAACTTATAACTAGTGATAATAAATTAGTTTTAAAAATTTTTAAGGTTTATAAGCAATCAGAGTTGCGAATTTTAAATCAAAATCTTTTGGATTGAAAAGTTAAAATTTAATTTAAGAAAAAAACACAATTAGAAAACAATATTTTTTTATTTGTAATCATAAATTTGGGACTAACAGTTTTTTGTACTTCTCAACTCTCAATTCGGTATTTGAAATTAAATTACTTTAATTTTTTAATAAGGCATTTGGCATTAAAAATTTGTTTTTAATTTTTCAATCCTTTATTTGGGATTAATTTTTTTTAATCCGGTATTTGGCATAAAAAATTTATTTATAATTTTGTAATCCGGTACTGGTAGTTGAAAATAATTTAAAACTTTCGGAACAAAAAAAATAAAATAAAAATGTAATTTAAATGTCAAAACAATTATTTTTTACTGCATTATTTCCAACCGTGCTAACAATTCGTTAGCAATTTTAACTGAATTATATATTTTTGGCCAGTAGCACCCTGTATTATGTAAACCAAATATCCGCCATAGCGTAATTTATAGCTTAGTTGCGAATTCCTTTAACACACCAATCCTTCTAAGATGGCGCATGACATGCGACACCCACACAAAGTCTCCTCGCCACCTCACCGGCTTTATTAGATGCCCGAAGAGTGTTTCACCGCACCGCCGTTCCCTTACGCACAACCGACTCGGTTGCAGGCGCAGCAACTTGAGCATTCTTTACAGTTATTTGCATTTGATGCAGCTTCTCCGACACACGTAACTTTGGCGCTGCACTTGAGGCGACGAGCGGCAAGTCGGTAAGCAAACTCAAACAGCGCACGAATTCGCGGAAGTGCACCGAAACTTTACAATTTATCTAGGAAAATGTAATTAGGATACATTGGCTGCTTGAAAGCAACACTTCACCGCTCTTAGCAGCACCATCACCCTTTCGGTCAACTAAGGCTTGCGACTGGTAGATGCTGATTTGCCCATGGTGGATGGAGCGGCGTGCGTTGTGGCGCGGCAATTGCGATTTAATTTAATTCAATTTTCAATCTCAACAAATGCGGCGCCGACAACATTAATTTCAAATACGGCAGCGCACTTGCCGGGCAGAGGCTTACACGCGGAATGAATCAAATAGCTGGGCGGACGATAAGGCAGATGTGCAAATGCAAATGCAGAAACCCACAAATACGCACATACACATATGTGCATATGTAAATGAAACGACTTTAGCTGCAAAGGTAGCATGAATTTGCGTCTGCGGTTGCCGTTTTTGCCCTTCCATATAGGTGTGTTTGTATGTATGTACACCCGAAAATGCACTTACAATGGCGAAAGCCGAAATTAAAGAGACATTTGTGTGCGCATGCATATGCCCAACTACATACATATATATATATATGTGTGTGTGTGTGTGAAATAATGAATGAACAAGATGCGGGCCATGTCTGACTGGCTTCTGCCTGGCGCTGTCT